GAATCCCGGAGCCGGGAAGCCCGGGGAGCAGTGCCTGGCACGGGGCCGCGTCCCGGCTCCTCCTCGGCGCGGCGCGCGGCTGCGGCGCCCGTTTGGGGGCATCGGGTAATGCGATAACAATGGCACTAAATCAGGCGCAGAGCTTCAAGTACAAGTCACAGCAAGAAGTTGTTAATACCTTTATTATGGGATAAAATGTATTCATGATATTAAAGACATCACATTTCTGCCCTGGTGTCACATTTTAGATGTAGCGTAGATAAATGATATATCACTGTAAGAGATCTACAAAAACCATTAGTAACCATGACATTTTGACGTCAGATTTTAAAAAATTCCTAAGTAATCTTTTTGATTTATGAAATGGTGTCCAGGTTCATCGAGACTGATCTCAGATTTATCACAGCCTGGTTAGAATTATTAATGATTTTCAATTTGTAAATCCAATGCCAGCATGTCCAAGTGCTCTCAGCAAAATCACGGAGAGCTGACAGGGGGATTTTGCTCAATCCATAGTTTTCGGCTCTTGTGAGGTTTTCTCCTTAACCCCCGGGGCACCGGTGGGGCCGCGGCGAGGACAATCCCGCCGAGGCCGGAGCTGCAGTGGGAGGAGAGGATCCGGGCACTGGGAAGCCCTGCGAGCCGGGAGGAGAGGATCCGGGCGCTGGGAAGCCCTGCGAGCCGGGAGGAGAGGATCTGGGCGCTGGGAAGCCCTGCGAGCTGGGCGGCCCCGCGCACCCTCCGGCAGGGCCGCGTCCCCGCGGAGCCGCGCGGCGCTTCGTGGAGCTCTCGCCGTAATCGGGCAGGTAGAAACTCCCCAATTAAGGACCTTAGCAGGGGAGTTTTTCTAATCAATCAGATCTGCCCCATTATTCAGCTCCCTCAGATGGGCTGGCAAGCAGAAGCCGGGCATCCTGCAGCGCGCTCCCCATTCCAGAGCCGGGAGCACTGCAGCCCCAGCCTCTGGAAACATTTCAAAACATTGAACAATTTGCACAAAACACCCAGAGCTGCTGGTCCGCAGGCTTGCTGGGGCCTGCTGCAAACTCATCTCCACTTGGCTTCCCCAAAGATCCCCCAAACTCCCAAGAATCCACGTGCGCGAGCAGAGGGACTGGCGGTGACCTCGTGCGGGTCGGCACAGGCTGCGCAGGGACCCCAGGCACCCTTCCCACCACCAGCAAACACCCCTTCCCAAAGCGGAGGTTTGCCCAGGAACACGGAGCCCGCTGGAGTCCTCCTGCCTCTATTGCAGGCGCCGGCCGGAGGTTTCAGATCTGCTTTTCTTTTTCTTGTTTGAAGTGTCTCCTCCTTCCTCTGCAGTGAAAATTGAGGGAAATGAGAGGAGAAAGCAAGTGAACAGGACAAATAAAGCGCAATTTGTGGAAATCTGTAGGTAAAGAACACGGCGGGTTGAGACACCACGAGGCGGAGCGCTGTGCAGGCAGGTTGGGCCAGGGTTTGTCCTGCCTGCATTCCCAGGCCCGAAGGGAGGAGCGGAGCTGGTGGGAGCAGCTCCAGAGGGAAGCGCTTGTCCCATCCGGAGGCGCTCCACGGCTGCCTCCCCAGCAAAACCCGGCAGGACTCCAGGATGCAGAAAGGGCCCGTTTTCCATGTGGCTGCATTGCCATTAGCCCTGCCCATTAATTAGAATAATGCTAATTGTTATGGTAATGACGATTATATCTGCAGCTTCATATTGTCTGAGGTTGGAAATATTTAAAAGAAATCCTTACAGAAGGATTTTATCAAAGCCAGTAGCATCTCAGATAACGTTTTTAAATGCCAAATTTTCTATGAAAACATATATTTATATCAGCAAAATTAAATTTCAGCTTAAGCTTCTTATTATAAATAAAATAAGTCAATAAAAAAATAAATATCTAATTGAATGAAGCAGAAATTATATCCAATTATATTTTCCTTAAAACACAATTTATCTGCCTATATTTTCTTTAAATGCTCATGTTACTTTTTCACTTACTCACAATAAATGCCTGGGTGCATTTCAAAGTGGGGCCTTTTCTATTATTTCATTTCCTGGAGTCCTTGGCTCAAGAGGACATTAATAGCACACTATAAATAAAAATAACAAAGGGAAAGTTACTCAGGGGCCTGAGCTGCGGGTTTCTGCGGGCGCAGCGGGGCCCTGCGCACGGSTCTGCGCTGGGTCCGGCCCGTCCTGGTGCCGGGGGCCGTCGCTTGGCAGAGCGCGCTGCCCTTTTGCTGCATTTCCTGCAGCTTTGGGCAACATCCACCCCGTGGGATGTGGCGCCAGCGGGAGCAGCTCCGGTGGTGACTCCCATGGGACCCGCTGGGAAGCGGGAAGTGGTGGATCCCACTCGACAGCTCAGCCAGGTGCAGTGGATCCTGTGGTTGGAGCCTCTGGCCAGCACATCCCGGTGTGCTCTTGGAAAAGGGAAGGCTCTTGTGTTTTTCCCAGGASGGGCCTGAGGCACCAGCAGGGCATCCCCTGGAGTCACCCGCTCCCAACCCCAATCCCTGTGCCCTGTCCTGCCCTCTGTCCCCTGCATCCCGTCCCACCCATCCATCCACGAGCTGCCACGTGTGAGCGGCCACTGCGCGATGGTGCCGGTGCCTCTGGCTCTCCATCCGGATCCGTTATCCTGCGCTCGGCACGACTGCAGCACGGGCAGATGATGCAGCTCCCATGGCTCCTGCAGCCCCTGCAGTCCCATACAGCCCCACACAGCCCCACACAACCCCGCACAGCCMCATATGGCCCCATACAGCCCCGCACAGCCGCGGCCGAGGGGACGATGCCGCACGGAGCGGGGCCCTGCGCGCTCAGGCTCCCTTGGGGCGCCAGCCCGACCCGGCCGCGCTGGGCACTGCAGCCCCAAAGGGACCAGGCTCATCCCGGCAGCAGCCACCGCTCCCCTCGGCCTTACCTGGGATTGCCAGTGGATTCGCCTCACCTTTGTTTGGAAAATAATGGTACACGCGGAATTATGAAAGTTTAATATGCTCCTGGTAAAATGAAAAATGAGTGGTTATGATACTGTCTAACACTTTCAAATGTGTTTATTAATTCATGTTTTAAATCATAAGTTTCATTCTGCAGGAGAGTCATACACAGCAATAAGCAAGTTTTAAAATATTAATGAATAAACAATATTTCTCTATTGAAATATAACATGCTTCTTTGAACAATGTACCACCGGTAATAAATCACAACCAGCAGAAAATTGCATTTCATATTTAATACAACTTGAACTCTGCCTTTTTATAAATGATATCTTTTTTGTTTAATTGGCGTCAGTTCAGATCTAGCAGATTGCTAATAAAATTCTGGATTTCCATATTTAATGACGCGTGCTCTATAGGCTGAATTTTACCCAGAAAAATGCGGCCCTTTATTATCCCAATAGAGAGCGGGAAGAGGTGACCTCGGCGGGTGGGAAGTGGCCCCGCGCCGTGGCCCGGAGCCTCGGCCGGAGCCTCGCCGGGAGGAGAGACCCTCCTGCGGGAGGGAGCAGGATGATGAGGAGGAGCAGGAGGAGGAGGAGCAGGAGGAGGAAGGCTTGCTCCGGGACCCGCTCCTGCGCAGCGTCTCGGAGCCCTCGGCGCAGCCTGTCCCACCACCATGGACACGGATGCAGCGATGCAGCCTCAGCTGGGCAGGCAGCCGCCTCCCCTCCACCCTGGCTGCTCCAGGCAGTGGATCCTGCTCGTGCCGCAGGGCTGGGCCTGATTCTGGTCTCCCTCACACGGGGCTGGGATCCGTCGCCTKGCGGCGGCCCTGGCTGCGAGACCGAGAGCTGGCCCTGCAGCTCGGCAGGGCCTGGCTGCCCCCGCGTCCCGTCCACCCCCCCGGCCCCTTCTCCCCGCGCTGCCGGGGCTGCCGCTGCCGGACAGGCGCCCGCGGCGGCTCCAAGCGGCGCGCGCCGTGACCGCCGCCCCGGCGCAGCCCGAGCTGGCGCGTCAGCCGCCTGTGCCACGCTGATAACTCCGACCCGCTCGTCTAATGGTTCACTTTTCTTCACAGCCCATATGGCAGTGACATTAAAGCTAATGAAATAAAATAAAATTTGCCAATCTTTGAAGAATTCCATCCTTTAAAAAGATGTATTTGATTAACGCAAACTGGAAACATCTTCAAGGACTGGGGCTATTTTTACCGCACAGGAATGCTGGGCTCCGGCGCAGGCAGTGCCGCGTTCCCCGGCCTGGCGGGAGCGTCGGTGCCTGCGGCCGTTCCCGGGGCTCCGCGCGGTGCCCGCGGCTGTCGGGGGGTTGGCGGGAGCCAGGCCGAGGGCAGAGGCCCGTGCAGGGGGGAACCGTGCCGGAGTGCGTCCCGCTGCCGCGCGGACACCCCGGCAACGAGGACAGCCCGTGGGCAGCGCGGCGCTCCCCGCTGCCGGCGCCTTTGCCCGCTCACCCGCCCGCGCTCCCGCAGCCGCCGGGGCGGCCGAGGGCCCGAGAAGGGCCGCAAGGGGCGGCGAGCGGGCAGCGCGGCACCCAGCACCGTGGGGGCCCCGCGCGCCAGCCCCGCCGCCGGGCCCGCCGATTCATCAGGGCCCATTTGCCGCCAGTGATTACCGCTAATCCCATTTCCTGCGAGTCGATTTCCTTGAGATATGGTAAATAGGCCATTACCTGTTATTGACCTTTACTTTATTAAAAAGATTTAAAATTAGCATTTATATATATAGTCCTTCCAAAAAACTTTTTTTAATAAAGAAAAATATTTTTATAATCCAATTGTGCCCACTCGCTAGGGTTATGGTTCCAAAGTTAATGTTAAATAAAGATGATAATCAAGAGCAAATATATTTTTTTTCTTTTTTAATTCATCTAAAGGCCTGACCCCTTCCTGAGCCTCGCTCAGCTGTTTGCTCCTGAGCGCGGCAGCGCCGGCGGAACCRCTCGGCTCCAGCTCTGGGACAACATCCACGTTTTGCAGCTGGCTTCACCTCCTAGGCCTGAGTTAAGCTGAGCAGGAAGAAACATCATCAACATTTGATCATGAAAGCAAA